ATGATGATTTATTGTTTATTTTTAGGATTTATTAGAGGAAATTTTAGCTGTATAATATTTAAGTGAAATTTCCCCTTTAAAAAAAAGTTTTCGTTGACACAAACTTAAGTAATATCTGATAAGACATATTATCATAATGATAAGTATGCATATTTTCAAACAAATAGTTTTATTTCATTATTAACCTCTGTAAGTTCAATAATTTTTTTGAATTTTCACAACTAATGCAAAAATGTATGTTATAAAAAAAAGAAATTTCAATTTCCAATCTTACAAAAAGAATATTAGCTATAATTTCGAATTAAATTAATAAAACAGCCTAAAATACGATTCAAACATGATTATTCAAGCATGATCAAACATAATTTAAAGGAAGGAACTATTTCAAGTTATTGTAATTTTAAATTAAAAATCCATCAAAATTTAAATTCAAATATTTCCGAATTTCTATTGTTACGAAAGAGATACTCTCTACTAAAAGGAAATGAAAAAGAAAATTGTATAATTTAAAAGGCAAAGATTATTATTTACGATAATAAATTAAAAATTGATAAAGAAGAAACACGTGTATTTCGATGCATACAATAGTATTTTGAAATGATTAATTTCCTATATTAATCATCCAAAATTTCTCATCGAAAATTCTTTCTTTCTTCTTTTTTTTTCAATGCTTCAAAAAATATAAATCAAAATTTGAAAAAAGAACAATATAATTAATGTAAAATCAAAATTAATTTTTCTTTTTACTTATAAACCTTGAAAATATTGAAAATACCTTTAAGGCAAATGTTACTTTATAAGTGAACAATTAAAAAAGAAAAAAACGAAGACAGGAAAGTTTAATATTATGAAGAAAAAAATTTTTCAGCAGCAAAAAGTTACATTCAATTAATAAATAAATTAAAAGTGGAAAAAAGTGTGGAGAGAAAAATTTAGGTTTGTCTGGAAAAAATTCAAGCATTCATTCTGTTCAATTGGCAGGAAAAAATTTTTCGCCTAATTTTAAATTAATATTTACAAGAAAAAAAAAAATTAAAAAAAATGAAATTTCCCCACTTTTTACCTTTTTTTGTTTAATTTTAAATCCAAAGATACTGAATAGTTAAAATTTTGTAAAACAAAAATTGTTTAATGAGGAAAAAAAAAATCATCCTTACATAGTGGTAAATCTTATTATTAATTATATTTTACATATTGATAATATCTATTTTTTATGAAATAAAAAAATTATTTCTAATCACTGATAAATCTTATCGATATGTTATCATTTCGTTTACGCTTCTATAAAGTATATTTTTCTTTTTTTTCTTAAATAAACTTTTTACACGTTAATGAAATGTTGGCAGTATTTGCATAATATTTAAGCTGATATTTTCTGGTCCGCTAAAAATCATAATTGCAGTAAAATTATAGTATTCATGACGATGTTTGTTACGTTTTTTTTTTTCACGTAAATTAAAAAGAACGTTTTATGACGTGGGAAAGTGTTATTTTCCATTTTAAAATCATATTTAAGCAAATATTTCATATTTACTATCATTTTTGTCTTGAATTTGCAACGGTATAGAATATCATTTACATATGTTTACGGTCACGTTTTTTACGTGTGAAAGATGAAATAAGATAATTAAAATTAAGGTATTTCATTTCGTGATAATTTTCAAGTAAGTATAAATTCGTTTTTTTCCTTTTTCTTTCTGTAAGCTATATTAAGCAATATCTATTGCATATCTTAACGTTATAAAGTTTTACTTTTGGAATGCATTACAATATGAACGTGCAATTCTGATTCTAACCTTTGATACGTAACTTTCACACGTGTATTGTTTTACGCACGTAATGAAAAATATTTTAAACTTACGTGATCAATATTTATTAACGTAAAATTTTAATTTCCTTTTCTTAAAGTCACCCTTTCTTGTTTCCTTTGAAATCACTCTTTTTTTTTTGCAGTTCGTTGGATTTTTTCAAAAAACGCGAAAAAAAAAACTCGTAAAATTAAGGTCAGCTGCTAATCAGAAACAATTGTAGGTAAGGAAAAAAAATGAATGAAAATTTTCAAACTGCAAAATTAAAACAACAGAGTAAAAATTTTAAAAAAAGTTAAAACAAGATGAAGTAAATAGATTCAACTTTTAATTTTTAATTTCAAAAAGATACTTTTAATTTGCATAACAAATTTAGGACATTTCAGTGTTGAAAAAATGTCACCAAAAAAGGAACAAAATTTTTGTTGAAAAAAAGCAAATTAGTCCACAATAACTTCATTTCCTATTCCAACAAAAAAAAAAATCAAAAAAATAAAAAAACTAAAAAAAAGTAAATATTCGGTAAAAAAATTTAAGAATTTACGAAGAATTTGTTATTCTTTTTAAACCGAAATATTAAAAAATAATTTTTAGTAAATGGTAAAAGAATAATTGGACTTTACTAAGTAATAAAGCAATAAAAATAGGAGATTCTTTTGGTGAAATAAATGGAAAAGAATTATTCAGTTTAAGTTAATCATTTCAAGTATAATTATATTGTAAATGTCGGTATTGCATTGGTATAATTAAATGTTTACGACGAATAAAGTAATGGCGAAATAAATAAAATGAGAAAAATATATGCAAATGAATGAATTTTTTTTTTCACTTACTTAAAATGGACAATTGATATATTGCTAAAATAAAATTAAATTGAAATAAAAGCAAAGGAGGAAATTTCTAAAATTGTTTCAGATTTTACAAAAAGTTAATAATATTTTAATTAATATATTAAAAGTTTTTTTTCCATTCCACAATTTATTACTAAATGTAAAATTTAAATTAAAATTGAAAAAGTGAAATTACTTGTAGTTACTTGAATATTGTATAAAATTTGATAGAAATTTAATCGAAATAAAAGGTTAGCAAAGAGAAATGATATTGGTAAGTCATTTATTTTGCAGTTAATTTTAACCCATCAATAATTTTCTCGATTTTTACTCTTCTCAATGGAAAAAGTTTACTCAAATATTTTTTAAAACAACAATATTTTGGTACTTTTTTTTCCTGGCTACTTTTAAATTTTAGTAATTTTAATTTTCATTGGTTAAAATTTAAAAATACATTTGAGTAAAATAAATCTCAAACAAAAAGGTTTGTTTAATTATTACGATATTAACTAACTGCTGAAAATAATTGTGATGCAATATTTAAGCAATCAAATTAATTACTGAAGTAAGTACGTTTATCATGTAAAAAAAGAAAAAAAAAAGGAAAAAATGAATTATTTAGCCAGCGAATTCAAACAAAAAATGATTGGAGCCTTTATATAATATTGAATATATAATTAATATTTTTGCTCATTTATTCGATTATCTATTTTATGTTAGCATTTCCAATGTAAAATTCATTATTTCAATATTATTTAACTTTCGATATTAGCGTTTTTTACATCATTTTTTGTGATAGTGCAACATTGTTTGCACTTATCACTCATTGAAGATACATTAATTGATAAACAATTACTGGAATGAATGGAAATAAAATGTTTCAATAATTTTTAAAATTCAAATTTTATTTAGCAAAAAATTATGCAATAACCATTTCTGTAATGATTCTTTGTGGAAATATTATTTGTAGCGTAGAAATTTTGATTTTCTTTTTTTTTTTTCAAATATTCTACAAATTTAAAAATACGGTAAAAAGCATAAAAAAAGGTAAAAAAGAAAATAATGAGGTAGAATGTGCACCTTTTTAATATTTCACAATTTATGATATTTTAGGTTATCGAATTGTTATTTAAAATTAGTTAACTTTCAATGCGAAAAATTTTGCAAAGAAAAAAATATGAAATAATGAAAATTTATTCATTTTTTATTTTATAGCAAGAGAATGAGGAAATTTTTTATTAAAATAATGAATTTTACAATTTGATAACTTATTAAAATTCAATTTTTTTTCCCT